ACCTTGCAGTTCAAATGACTTTGCAGTCTAATGCATTAGCCCACAGCGCCACACCAGGACTCCGTGGCTGGTGGTATAGAAGCATGCAAAGTAAAACAAACCTACAAGACTGAAAACAGGGAACCAAAGATACTAGTTTGCAACAACAAAACCCCACAAAGTAAAAAGAAGAAATAATATAGTTACAGAACTTGCAAATAAAGGAAAATCAAGGAGATTTCAAGAAAAATAATAAAATAAAATAAAAACCTAACTGTAACCCTAAAACTACATCCACTCTTACTCCTAGCCCTCGCCCAACACCTATCCCTAATACTAACCCTAGTCCTAACCATAACCCTTAACACTAAACAAAGCCCTAGGCCTTGCCTAGACCTTCTTAGATTCTCTTGTAGACAGGGCAAATGTTAGCATTATATGGCAATTCACAATATTTAAGTTTATATATAGGTTAATTCTACTGGGCTTTCTGGGATAGTTGTAGGGACACCTGCTGACATGAGACAGCTTATTATAAATTGTAGCATGCCAATCAAATGGGAAATAATGTCATCGAAGTTTGTTTACCTAAAACTGTGAAACACAATGTTACTTGCTAAATTAACTTCCCAATAGCAGCTTACTGCTTTAAGTGACAAAACATTTTAAAATGTTAGTCATTATGATGGGAATCTTCCTTAAAAACATAACTGCCCTAACATCTCAAATAATGTCTTTTAAACACAAGTTAACATTTCCTTGATGATCTAATAGTATCACAGTATTCATTTTTATTATTATAATATGATACATGGATGGTCTCAGGATTTTTCAGGTGCTTGTCTTTATTAAATTTCCCATGGCTTGTATTTCACACTTTAACCTTCCCCATATCAAGCTGTTCAAATTTAATGTGTATACAACTGAAGACTGCCAGGAGAAACTAGATAATGGAATCTATTAAATCAGTAACTTAATTTTATACAATTCTAATTCAGTAGTTTCAAGGTAGAAAGCAGTTGGCTCTGATCACCTACAACACAAAATGTATGAGGTTAATGACAGCAATTTTCATGGACTTTCCACAGGTTTTTAATTTACAGCTGTTTCTGTTGTTTTTTCAAGTTGCCAAAAAGGCCAACACACATTCACTAAGTTTCTTCTGTATGCTTGTTGCTGATGTTGTTGTTAAGTGCTGTTGAATCAGTTCCGACCCATAGCGACCCTGTATAGGGTTTCCAAGGAGCAGCTGGTGAGCTTGAACCACCTTTGCAGTCCAGCGCATTAACCACAGCACCACACTAGGAGTCCTTTTGTATGCTAGGAACTAAATATAGCATCTCTCATGTATCCTTTGTAATAATTCTAAGAGACAGAAAGTTGTTCAGCCATTGAATGGTAAAAGCCAAGAACCTAATGTCTGTCTTGAGTCCAAAGTCTTGCTTTGTCAAACATTGTATCTCCTACTTTCTCAATGAATTATTTCAAAAAGTGTACGTTAGAATCATCTAGGGTACCTGTGAAAAAGGCAGAAATATTAACAGAATCTCTGGTGGATGACTTGTCATGATTTGCACAATTGAAAGCCTTTAGCGTAGTCACTAAACCACAGGTAAATACCTTTCTGGTACTCTCTGCTTTCAGCCAAGATCCACCTGATGTCAGCAATGATATCCCTCCTTCCATGTCCTCTTCTGAATTCAGCTTAAACCTCTGAAAGTTCTCAGTCAATTATGGTTGCAGTCATTTTTGTATTGTCTTTAGCAAAATTTTACTTGCATTATATTCTCTAACAATTTCCACAGTCTGTTGGGTCCCCTTCTCT